ACGACCTGTCCTCCAGACCTGGGGGAGTCGCCCAGGTTTCCTACGGCAATGTTTTGAAAGACAACGGTGGTGAGTCATCTCTTTCAGAAGAGGGCGGAAAAGGGGTTCAGTGCGAGTGTTTCAGGCCTGGCCTGTCCGGAGAGTCCTTTCTGTATTGGTTGAAAATAAAGTGTTGGTGAAGGGGCATTTCAGATAAAAGCTTTATTTAATTTGGGAGATTAAACAAGCCAAAAAAAAAAAAAAAAAAAAGGTTGGCTTCTCTAGAAAAGTTTACAGAAGATAGCAGAAGAATGCGGTCTGCTTACAAAAAAGAATGTGAAAGTATGAAACGTCCCTGAGAAATGACTCTCGACCTGCCTCCTGAGCAGCGCATGGAGGGCAGGCCTGCCCTAAGCTCACAGTAACCTCGCTCACCCCCACCCCTGTCTATCTGAAATGCTCCCTTTTTTTTTTTTTTTAACATAGAACATGGACTTATGTATAAAAGATCTTCTATGTTAGTGTTCTAATTTTGCTAAAAGATTTTAAATCCAGGGTATTCCATGCTCAATGGATAAATGCAGACAAAAAACCCCTGCAAGATTTGTATGAAAACGGAAAGTGCTGAAAATATTCTTCCCTTTCCTTTCCACTTTAAAAACTAATTTGAATTTTGCCCCATACTACAGTTGATTGGATAAAAGTTTTCATTATTGCTTCAAAATATAAATAAAAACAATGCCTGTAAATTCGGATCTGTGGCTGATTGGCTGAGGTCTTGGACACTTCTCATTTCATCGGTGGCACCGACATTACTGTCCTTAAACTAAGACTTGTCTCCTTTCTGTTCCTGGAGAGAGGAAAAGTCCACAAAAAAACCCCAAACAAACCCCCAAAAACAAACTTCTCCCCTTAGAGAACATGGCACTGGCAGCTGTTCAGATGGACGGTGAACTTGCAGGGACGGGACGCGCCAGGCCTGTGACAGGAGAGGTGCTGTGCACACGTGAACCTCACCGAGAAGGCCTCAGTGTTTTCTTAGGGAGGCAGCGGCCGCCAAGCAGTTACCCAGTTTACACACATCTGAGCTCCAGGCTTCCTTGCTCAGCAACACCTAGGCTTCATCTGGCAGCTGGGGGGTGGGGGGGTGGAGGGGGCGCTGCGCAAGGAGAAGGAGTCACCCGACACAGCTGCCTATCTGGAACCCTGGCAGGGCTGAGGAATACTTCTCTGCCTTTCATCAGAGGATTACGTGCACAAACACCATTTAACCCTCACTGTGTCTCGCAAGTGCTCCTTGTAGAGAGAGCTGTGGGGGGGGAGGAAGCCAAGGAGAGCGGGACTTGGAGGCCAAGCACAGGTTCTGTGCCCTGGGACAGGCAAGGCCTCTGGGAGGCAGCCGACAGTGAGTGAGGGTGGGGGTGGGGAGGGAGAGGCGGGCCAGTTGGCACCAAGGAAACAGAATGTGAGACTTGATGCACAGAGTCCAGACCCTGCGGGCTCTGTTGCTACCCCCTAAATGGTTCTCTCTTAGCACTGCTCCTCTCTATGCCCATGAGAAACGCCTTTGATGTTCACTTTCTCCTGGCTTTACCTGGATGAAAATTGCAGAGGACTGGGGAAAGTGAAAACCAAGAGTCGGGCCCTGCGACCCTCAGGCCTGGTCTGAGACGTAAAACCCACATTCACAATCATTAACAGGACATACTGATGTTCCTTGAAGCATCCATCATTCTTGACTCTAACAACCACCTTCCACAAGTGCACCCAGCCTGGGATTGCCATGGGTCTCTAATGGGTAGGGTACCAGACCCAGCCTCTCTGCTCTGGCTTTGTTCAAAGCCCATAGCCTCTAACATGAACAAGAACAATCTTGCTTCTACTGTGAGCTGCTAAAAATAACCACCTGGTCAACAACTACAGAACTCTGATTATGGGCTTTATATATTTTTACTGGCTTCTTTATTATTCTTTTTTCTTTTATTGAAAAAAAGAAAAGTATTGGTTAAGAGGAAATAATCCATCACCTTAATTACACCAGTTTTTGTTCTTTTTTTTCTCCTTTACACACAGTTTTTCATGTAACAGCTCAAATTCTAGAAAAAGATACATGACGGCACTATGTTTATAGCCAGTGTTTTAAAAAAAGGAGAGAGAGAAAAGGAAAAAAAAAAAAAAAAAAGCATACCCAGGCTACATTGTTTAAGATGTGACTCATAACAACAAGGAAAAGAAGTCTTTTTAAAAATCACATGACAACTCAGCTTATTCATCCTCTCTTTTCCTTGTCCCTTTTTTATATGGTTCTTTTTCTCCATGGCTTGTTTCCCTTCATTACTGACTCACACCCTGCTATACAATCAAAGTATACACACTAAGCAGAAAACACACAGTGATTTGAATAGAAAGAACGTTTCATGGCAAGAAACAAGGAAGAGACAGAAAATGAAAGATACTTCAAAATACTAAAGGTGAAGAGTATCTAATAAGCCCAGGTCCAGAGGCCACTTTCATTGCATTTCCTTCAAGATTTACCTCGTACATATTGGTCTCTCAAAGAATGAGAATGCTCCTTGCTCTTGTCTCATGGTTAATTTACAATGGAAAAGAAAAACAACTCAAATTCAAAAAGACGTACTAACAATGTAAATGCCTGTTGTTAGTAGTGTTTTACCATCAACTCCCCATATCCTGCCTGTCCAAACCTGACTTCTCTTTCTGAGTGAAGAGGCGGATTTAATCCCAGGGCATCCACGCCTGCACCAAGAGAGGTCTGCCTCTGCCTGGACCAGGAGAGGAACGGTATGCCCGTCACTCAGTTAGGCAGAGCAAATGGTCCTCTTTCCTCTCCCAAATGGAAAGCTTTGCCTGAATCAAAACAGAATTGCACACGGAGGTCCAATGGGCCTCAGCCCAAAAGAAGACTCTCTGGCCTTGGGTTCAGCTGGCTACCAATTTGGGGCTCTGTGTCAAACTTGTCAGTGTGCTTGAAATTGGCCATTCTCGGTTCTGGTCCTGCTCTCGACTCTGTGTTCCTCGGCCAGTTCTCTGCTCCCCAAGACTTGGTTTCCTCCTTCCAAAGATGTTCGTTACCGCCCAAGACAACAGACATGGGCCAATCCATGCCACCCATGCTCTGCCTTTGCTTAACCCTAAACCAGCCAGCCAGGAGCACTGGAAATTCTTACCTTCAAATCACTAAGCTCTGTGTTTATTTTGGTTAAATGAGTGCTGTGGCTCTGATGATATTTTATTTATATATTTTTTTCCAGGGGAACATGACTGGACTGTGAAGCCCCAAGGTAAACACAGCCTCAAGGAGAGCACATGTGCCCTGGTTTGTTTATTCTCTTTCGGAAGCAAAGCACTCAGCCACCGGACCTGTCAGTCATGGACCCAGGCATGCGTGCGCACACATAACAGCATCTGCGGCAGTGGCTGGAAGTCTTTAACCAGCTTTCCTGGGAGCTTTGAGTCTCAACAACCAATTAGAGTCCGGTGAAACAACATTAGCAGGTTCCACTCCCCCAACACCAACATTACCTTGGGTCCTGAAGGTTAGAACTCGAATTCAACTACAATCCAGGTTGTTCAGTTTTGACCTCAGCTTTCCTTCCCATGCTTAGATTCGCATCAACAAAAATCTCACATCCAGAAAGCAGTGACACAGGCATGTGAATACTCTTAACACTTCAAAATGTGCAGTGGGGCGTGGGGAGGGGGTTCAGGGGAGCAACGGAGGTGAGAAAGAAAGAAAAGAGAATCTGTGTGGGCCTGTCATCCTGTCCTCTGCCACCCTCTCCCTCATCTGCTGTCGTAAGGCTGTGGGTGATGAGTGGCAAATTAGGTGACATGATTTGGAGTCAGAGAGCGCATCTAGGTGACAAACCAGAAATTCATCTCTTTCAAGTCAGGAGCTGGACAGATTAATGAGAGTGAAGATAATGAGTCTAGACTTCAGATATAAAACTGACTTCCCTTATCTCTGAAATGCTGTCACCTGCGGGGTTAAGGCCAGCCAGTACGGACAGGGCCCAGCAACCTCACAGTTGTTTGCATAAATTAGGTTATGCAGAACCCATCCTCAGGTGAGGGTAGTGTCTTTGAGTGTGTTGTTACACCCAGGCCAACTGTCCTGAAGCATTTACAGTGGCTTCTAAACGCTCAGCCTTGGAATCTGGGTGGAAACAGCAGCAGCAGCCAGCTAACTAGTTTGCAAAGAGGGCAAAATGTGAAACCCCCTGCATTGCAAAAGCGCCAGCGGTGCAACCATCCCCGCAGCGTGGAGGCCTTTCCCCCCTCCCCCGCCATGAGGCAAGCATCTCAAATTCTTCTCTCTCTGATCTGCTCTATAGTTACTTTATTAGGGAGAGAAATGTCCTTTTCTGTTTTTCAGTCCTCTTTTCAAAGTGCTCTAATTCCAGTCATCAGACGTGCCTCCTAATTCCCTTTATTAGATACCAGCTCCTGAATTCTGCAACTGTTCCTCTGTAGGATTATCCCTCTTTGTGTCTTTTCCCTAATTTTCCTCCCTCACAACACTGCCTGCCCCTGAACCTCACTGAGGGTTAATTGAGACTGCCGCCTTGGTACCCTGGAACTGGAACTGGAAAGAAACCATCTTCAGGCTAAAATAAATCATTGCCAGCTCATTTCACTTTTAATTTACTACTGATTTTTTTTTTTTTGGTTCAGTTTCCCCACAGCCTCTCTGTTCTCACCACTCATGCATTTTCAGCCTCATTGCTCCCCGTTGGACAATGCAAGGCTGAAAGGTTTATCTGTAACCTATTTGTCTCTATTATAGGTTTCTAAACTTTAATTAAACAAGAGACAGCGAGGATCTCAATCCTCCTTTCCCTGCTGCTACAGGTGTTGTTGGTGCCATCTAGCGGCGGGAAGGTGTGGCGTCTATTTTCTCTTGTGACACTTGTTAAATTTGGAGGTGTATTCCCTCCATCAAATTTACATCACATGAGGGGAAGGAAAAGGCATGCAGAAAAAAAAAATTTTTTTTTTACCTTTAAAATTCTCACCTGCAAAAGCTGAGATGGGTTCTGGAAAAAAAAAACAAAGAAAACATTTTAAGTTAGATAAGCGGAAGAATCGGGAGAACACAGGGCATGGTGAAGATGACTTCTATTAACTTTTTTTAAAATAATACCCCTCCGAAAGTGCCCCATATCCTCCACAAGCTCTAGACTGTGTCTAACACATGATCATCATGGGGGCCAGTTGGTGGGGAGAGATTCTCAAAGTTGCTTTGGAACAAAAAGCCTTTATAGAGTAATGGGTCCCAGAAGCATTGTAATCAGTCACTTACCACTGATTACTTTCTCAGAGTCTGGATTACTTTTAGATGCCCTGGGCCTGAGAGTTGCCTGAAGGGACTGGGGTGGTCCCAGGTGCTTCTGACATCATCAGGCACATACACACACCCGGGACCCATGTGCCAAGAAAAGCACTTGGTGAGTTATTACAGTCACTCTGCCGATAGAAAGCAGGTTCCGTGCCTTTTCAGGATTCCCTCTTGCTTATAGGAATGTCTGTGGCTCTGAGAGATGATCAGCGTGCTCTTCGGGTGATCTGGGTAAAATTCATGTATCTGAGGTGGGCTGGTTGCTCTGCACTTCTGTCCAAGGAGACAGTTATGATATCTTTCCTATATTGGTCACCTGGTGTGTGATGTTTAATCTTACAATAATTCTGGGATCTGGGGCATTAGAAGTATTAGCCTCAAAGCAAAATCTACAATGTTACTTCACATGCCATAATTTGCCCTGCAATTCATTCATGCAAAAAGAACTACTTGGGTAATTACGTTATCACTCTGATAGAACATATGTACTCTTTTTGCTCACCAGTAAAGGCTTCCATTAAAGCCATCAAACCTTTCCAGCACGTTATTCTGACGGGCAGTTGTTCCTGTCCACAGGCACTTCTTTTGCTAAAAGCTGGAGTCTGGTGATGGGGTCTTGGCACCCCAAATCTCCGTATACTTAGTGCATATCTATTCCTGAATGGGAAGGGGGCTAGAAGACGTCCCCTCGCCTGACGCCCCTACTATCAGGAATGCGGCCGAAGACATGGCGACACTCACACCTCAGCTCCTGCACAGGCTGGTCGCTGCCTCACCCGCTGGGTAACGACTGTGTCTGAAAACGGTGTGCTGCCTTCCTGGGTATAGCCCAGCCCTCAGAATCTCACGCGGAAGAGCCATGAAGAGGCCGATGTTGAACGTACCCATACAGTTCTCCAGCGGGACGTCAGTGCTTAACCGAATGTCATCAATGGCGATTTCTCCGGAATGGCCTTTTCTTATGACTCCCTCGAACACAATCTAGAAGCCAGAAGAACATGAGCCACGGTTAACTGAGCCTCCTGGTCCAAACCGTGCAAGGATTCCCAATTTTCTGTTAACTGCAGCTTAAAATGTGTGCGTGTGTGGGTGTGTGACTACTCCTGGTGCACATCTGTTGACCACATGGCTATGGTGCTTGAAAATCTCAATTTAAAAAGAGTTGGTTCAAATCAACTGTGTATTTGAAGGGATTAAAAATATATATATTACAAGGTGATGGATATTGCTGTCCAGTAACTCAAATGCATTGATTAAAAGGACCACATTTGGAGTATGTTTAAAGAAGGGTTAAAATATCCCTAGCCATTTTTGAGCTTCCTTTCTCATAAATCTTTCAAATGCCCAATCCAAGTATTTGGAAGCTCAGGAGACAGGCACAGGTAGGGGTGAGGTGAGAAATAGAGTACACAGGTTTGGATTACCTGGGGGGAACATTGTTTCATGGTTCTATCATTACAACTAAGAAAGGAAAGGATTTGTTCTTTCACCAATAGTTTACTGAGCACCTACTATGTGCCAGGCACAAGGACAATTACAAAACCTCATAGACAAGGCCCTTTGAGAATCTCACTCTCTAGTGGGGGAGATAAAAATGCAAACATACTTACAATACATTGTATAAATATTTAAAGCAGGAATGCAGGTGGGGGTGGGGAGGAACTCAGGACATTTTACAACCTCAAAGGTGGCTGCACACGGCACACAGAAGCCCCTCTGCTCTCCGGTCTTCCACCATTCCCCGTTCTCGCCCTCCCCAGATTCTCTCCGCAAACTAGCGCTCGTCCTCTGGCAAGCTCCGTGAGCAGTTGGCTGCCTCGCCAGCCATCTGTTGCTGCTTCTCGTCTGGGGAGGAGCAGGTTAATGCTTTGGCTGGTTCTCAGTCACCTCTTCCACAGTGTCTACTCTACCCAAGTTCCAGGCACAGCTGCGCATACCCATCTGTGCCTCAGTCTCTCGCTCCGTGGGGCAGAGATAATAGAACTCAACTCCTGGAGCCGCTGGGTGAGAAACCGCTCAGTTAAGAGATACGTTTCTCTGGTCCACTGGCCATTAAGCACAAACAGCAACCCTCCCCTTCCTGTGTTCGCAGGCCGGCTGGGACAGGGCTGGGACAGGTCGGGGAGGTTGTTCCCCTCGCTCGCCAGGAGTCTGAGCAGTTCCACAGGCCTCTTCCCTGTGACTGGAAGGTTTGTTTGTGTTTATTTCCCTGGCTTCTATGTCCCTTTGTCAGCCTACCTGATAGCAATCTAAAATAAAATGGAGAGAAGAAACATTTGCTGGAGAAGATTTCAGCAATATAAAAGGCAATAGGAGGAACAAAGAACCAAGTCTGGGTGTAGAGATAGTCACATTCTGAATAACAAATAAGAGTGTCATTTAGTTGCCATGGCAACGTGAGAAACACAATGAAAACAGCAGAGCTTAACCACGTTCCCTAACGATGAATGGGCACGGCCCTTTGAAATACTGAAATACAGATCACCCCGACTCCCGCGGACCCCCGCACCTGCCCCGTCCCCACCCCACCTGGTACTCCATGTCGTAGCTGGGCAAGATGATCCGCCCGTGTTTCCACTCGCCGCCCTGGTCCTCGCGGATGACCCAGAGGAGCTTGCTCTCCTGGCTGGCTTCCCGCAGCACCTGCAGCGCCACCCCGCGGCCGCCCGTGGCTTGGTACTGGAACTCCATGCACACGGGGCTCCGCGGCAGGTGGACCGGCGGGCTGATGAGCCGCGCGTACTGGCCCTCTCTTCGGCCATCACTCTGCAGCCTCAAGAAATTCCTGTCATCTGGGGAAAATAAACCAAACAGAGGGCTTCCTGGTAAACGCCGGGGAAAGATACCAGTTTGCAGCTGTTGCCCCTCCAGGGGAAAAGCAGGGCCCAGAGTTTGGGTGCTTTGTTTTTTCATGTCCTTCTTCACCAAGTCCCGCATCCCTTTTTTAAGGCTCCTTCTGAGCCTTGATGCAAATGCTGTGTCCTCTTGAAGCCCTGTGAGTCTTTCCACCAAGCCGGTCCCTCTGCCTATCCCTCAACACCACTCTCTTTGGGCCTCTTTTACCTGTTGTGGTTGGCCTTATGTCTTAGCTGGTTGTGTCTGCGCTGGTCTTCTCTGCCTAGATTTTAAGAGGCCAGTCCCGCAACTTAGTCATCACCGGCATAGCAAAGGGGCCACTGCAGTCTAATGAACTAAATTAGAAGGGGGTGAGGTAGCTGCGAGACGAGGGGAGGGTTCTGGCCAGGTGGTTTATGCTTCAAAGCCTTTATCATCTTGCCCGGGCACTGTCCAAATGGAAGACATTTAAAACCTTCTGTCTCCACCAATGTTACTAGCTGGTGCCTGGGTGACTGTAAATCAGAAACCTAGTGTCAACTTTGAGAGAGCAGGGGGTGATGGCTGATTAGGGGTGATTCACAGATGTGGTGCCCTTTCTTGCCCAGCCTGGGGAGGCCTGACCTTGGCCTTTCTCAGTCTGCCAGGCACACACACCTCCAGCAAAAATAGGCACTGTCATCTTTATTAACAAAGGCCATGTGGTTAGTAGAGGATAGACACATGTTGGAAAATTAAAAAGTTTGACCCGTTTAAATGTTTAGAGAACGGGCCTTTTAGCTGATTAGTTTTCAACTCCATCAGACCCTGCAAAAGACCAGTCCCTCTTCCTGTTTGCAGATCCCAGGCCTCGCAGACACAGGTGGAGGACAGGCTACCTGCAAACCCAACTTGTGCAGGGGTGTTCTGGCTATTTGCACAGAGAACAGGGTGGCATCTGAGTCTCACTGCGCCCTTTTTGGCCCTGAAGCCTCTGATGCTGAACACTTCTGTAAGAGGGCAGGTATACTTTGTACCACACACCCAGCACATCAGACACCTCAGGATCATGCTAATTGGAGACATGTGCGCAGAGCTTTCTTCCTCAGCCGGGTCTGTGAACACCCTGCGCTGTCAGAGAAGGATAGGCAAGGACTTCAGAGCTCTGGAACAGCTGGCTTGCTGTTGTTACTCCTGCTGACATCATCTTTCCAGTGAGAGCTGAGCCTGCGACAGGGCTCCCACCGGTGGCTCAGAAGCAGCTTCTACCTCCCCCCTCCTCCCAGCCACTGCTCTCCTCTCCCCTGGCTTCCCGAAGTCCCTCCTGGTTAGATTCTCCGGGATTATTGTTCCAGAAGCTGCCCTGCCCTGAAGTCAAATTAGAGTAGCTTAGAATGCATACTTGGAATTCCAGTTTATGTCTCCTTCACCACTCAAAGCCACGTCTGTCTAATACCCCACAACATAAGGCCTCTTCAAGGCCAAAGTCAGCACAGATAACCAGGCAGCTGCCTACAGCTGAGAATTTTAATGATGATGATCTACTGAGGGAGGAGATACTGGTGCCACGACCAGACACTCAGCGAGCTTCTGAACCTCTGCTTCTCCTATCAGATCTCATTACTACTGCTATTAATGATAATAATTAGAAGTCCTATTTGCATAATGCCTCACAGGTTACAAAGCACGTTTGTATGCATTATTTCATTTAATCCTTGCTCTAGGAGCTCAGTTTTATTAATCTTACTTTGTACAGGATGAAAAAACAGAGGCTTGGAAAAGTTCAAGTGATTTGTCCAAGGTAGAGAGACTAGTGAGGAGTAGAGCCGGACTTGACATTAGGTGTTTCCACCTCTGGACAGAAGGCCCTTCACTTCAGCTATGCCCCAGGTACTGTGCCCCACGTCTAGGCCATCAGTCACACTCTGTTCAAGGTAAACTGGCTCCCTCCCTCCCCCCGCCAGCCCTGCTCCTTTTTCTCCTCTTACCTCTAACCCCTCTCTCCCTGACCAATCCACCTATCTCACCTCTTTTGCTAGTTTTTCTCCAAACCCATCTGGCACACTTCAGCATTAGCTCCTCCCTTCTCTCAACAACTCCAGCATTTAATGCTATATCAATGATGTTTCCTTGTTTTTTAAAAGACTGGAGGCCGGTTTTTCATGCATTTCAGCAGGCAAACGCTCACTGCCTAATACTATAATTTAACTGTTCTGGGTGTGCCTCTCTTATCGCCCCAGTTAGGTAAAAAGGTGCTGGTATCACACATATAAGGATTAATATGGCTTCTTCTCATGGCCCCTAAACAGTGACACATATATGCCACTACTCAAGAAAATTTTGTTTCCGTGAATCACTGAATAACAAACACAAGGATAAAGGATGACAGGAGGCTATATGTTGGAAATAAGAACAGAGGGAGAATCAGCTAGCCTCTGGCAATCGCTCAGACTCTCGATTCCCTCCCACCTTCCTGAGCTAGCAAACAGCCCTTTTCAAAGGTGAGGTGCGCGAATAACAACAGGGTGACCTGTGGACGCACCCATCCACCCATCCACCCATCCACCGACCACCCGTGAGAACCTCCCAAATGCGCCCACGCTCCAGTCATTTCCAAACCCCGACTGTTTCCACCTCATATATAAAGAAAACCAGATTTCAGAGACTTATTATTCAGCCTTCTTCCTTCACAGTTTCACAAATAAGACCCCCTTGCTGCCTGAAAATTGCTTGGCAGAAATACTGTCACTTGTGTGAATTTACATTCTTAAGCAGTAGGGGAATCGTGGTATAATGGTTAGCATTTAGTAAGTAAAATGTGCGTGGAGGTGTAAAGAGCCGGGCTGGCTGGATGTCATCTGGGTCTGTTCTGTTCACCTCTCCTGTTGCTAAAACTTCAGGCACAATTAAGCCAAAGGTTCCATGGACTGCTTCTCCCAGGGGCCCAAGCTCACCCCTCCCCTCTCCTCTCTCCTCCCCGCTCTCTCACACAATAAGATGATAATCACTATGCATGATTTAAAGGACCACTGGAAGACCAGGGAGTTAATGCTGGTGGCGTGCTAAGCACGAGCAGCTGAGGGATCATAATTCAGTGCTGACATCTGAGCTAATCCACTAGTTTGCAGAATCTCAGGACAAGCAGGCCTCTGAATTTCACTTAGTTAAATCATTTGTGCCCCACTTGTCTGTTAAGTGCTATGAGCTCGAGGGAAGAAAGATGATATGTAAATTTAAGGAATTAGCAGTAGACATCAGTCAGAGGGACGCTGAGCTGCAAAATGTCCCTGCCTGTCACTAAGAGAGACCTGATTAGAACCAGGACATCATGAAGGAATGGCTCGGACTAGGAAAATCCCAGGGAGGGGGAGAGGAGGAGCAGGGGGAGGGAACCGATGTTAACTGGGCACCTACTATGTGCCAGACATTATACTGGAGGCTTTGTCTGCCCATTTTATGTATTCTTCCCTGTGAAATGAGTATTATTTTCTCCATTTTTACAAAAGGAGAAAGTGAGACTCAGAGAACTGAAGCGATGTGTCTGAGACCCTAGCTACAGAGTGATGGACGCAGGGAAATCGCCCGAGCATGGCCTTTCACCTGGCCTCATCCTCACTAGTGTTCTAAAGCCTCTGTCTTCCCACCTGTAAAATGGGTGTAATAACCTCATTGCTGCATAGGGCTGTAAGAAGGAGGAAATGGAACAAGCCATGCACAAGACTTTGCATAGCAACAGGGACATAGTAAAAACTCAGTAAAAACTATGGTCTTTATTACTCCTGCTATGGTTATACATACTGCCTCTTGTGCTTGCCTTTATGTTTGTTTTGAGTTTTTGGTTTTTTTCAAAAGAAATAGGATTGAAAGAGCACCAATAACTTGGAGAGACCAATCCAAGACTCAAAGGGAAGTATGGTTTGGCCCGGGGACAGTAAAGATGTTTTCTGGAATAAGACGGTTCCCAGATCCATCACCTTAATCCCAGAAACCAGCCAGCCCCAGGTTGGACATCATGCACTCTATTTACCACATATGTGTGTGTGAATCTATGGTAGATGAAATAAAATAATACATGATCCTGGAATGAGAGTGGGACCTCATGAGACGGTTTGGAGCAGGCCAGCCCTGTCGTCCAGAGGAATGATGCTGAAAACATCCAGAACAGCTGTCCACCTCTTTGCTTTAAATTTCCCAAAGAAGGAGTTTCCATGGGCCACACTGGCAATGTGTTTTCTGGGTCACAACCCCAACTGTCAGGAACTTCTTAAATTCAGTTTTAAGTTTTCCTGCTGTCATTTAGACACATGTCTGCCTTCTACCCCTGATGGAGCACAGCCAGTATCTGTCCCCTGACTTAGATACACTGTCACTCGTGAAGAATTAAGACCCTTAGCCTTTGCTTCATTGGGAAACACAATCCTTCTCCTTTAAATGTCCACTTTCCAGGCCTTTAGTGATAGTGGTAGGTCTCCACTGACCCTTCTCCAAGCTAAGTGCTTCTGCTCTTTTAAGTCAGGGGACCCATTTATGTGCTGTAATGAAGCACATGTGTACAAGTGAAGTTTGTTCTTCTGGAACATCCCAGTTTATGGCCCATTACTGCCAAGCACAGAGGGATTTTTAAGCACACACTGGCTGTTGATTACTTGTGAGAGCAAAGGGTTGGCATGGCATGGGTAGGCTGCTTTAATGATTTACTTGGGCTTTAAAGAAGAGCCCTCTAAATTGTCAAGAGGTTGCCCAAACATGACAATTGACTAGCCAAGAACCAGCCCTGCCTGCTGGAGGTTGCTTTCTTATCCTTGTAGCTGATGGCAGTGATGCCGCCAATGCAGAACTTCCAACAAAATTACAATGGGAAGGACAAATGTTCAGTTGTTGAAGGAGAATGAAGAAATAATGCCCCAGAGACATAATCCCTCTCCTCCCAGACCTGACATACTTGGGAGGCATTTTGTGAGGGTCTCTGACTCAAAAC